ACAATGAGATATCATCTCACACCAATCAGAATGGCCATCATCAAAAAATCTAGAAACAATAAATGCTGGAGAGGGTGTAGAGAAAAGGGAACCCTCTTGCACTGCTGGTGGGAATGTGAATTGGTACAGCCACTATGGAGAACAGTATGGAGGCTCCTTAAAAAACTACAAATAGAACTACCATATGACCCAGCAATCCCACTACTGGGCATATACCCTGAGAAAACCATAATTCAAAAAGAGTCATTGCAGCTCGATTTACAATAGCCCAGAGATGGAAACAACCTAAGTGTCCATCATCAGATGAATGGATAAAGAAGATGTGGCACATATATACAATGGAATATTACTCAGCCATAAAAAGAAACGAAATTGAGCTATTTGTAATGAGGTGGATAGACCTAGAATCTGTCATACAGAGTGAAGTAAGTCAGAAAGAGAAAGACAAATACCGTATGCTAACACATATATATGGAATTTAAGAAAAAAAATGTCATGAAGACCCTAGGGGTAAGACAGGAATAAAGACACAGACCTACTAGAGAATGGACTTGAGGATATGGGGAGTGGGAAGAGTAAGCTGTGACAAAGCAAGAGAGAAGCATGGACATATATACAGTACCAAACGTAAGATAGATAGCTAGTGCGAAGCAGCCGCATAGCACAGGGAGATCAGCTTGGTGCTTTGTGACCGCCTGGAGGGGTGGGATAGGGAGGGTGGGAGGGAGGGAGACGCAAGAGGGAAGAGATATGGGAACATATGTATTTGTATAACTGATTCACTTTGTTATAAAGCAGAAACTAACACACCATTGTAAAGCAATTATACTCCAATAAAGATGTTAAAAAAAAAAAAACTATGCTCGCCCCTCAGGGAACACACATAATTCCTGTTAAAGCTAATAGGAGTCAAGTGCACATCGACAGACAGAAGAGATGCAAGCAGGGAAACCAAGTATCTGGTAATAGGCTTTGAGCCTGAATTCTGGGCCCCCCTTTGTACAGGTAGTAGGTATCCTGGTTGACATTTACATTAACAATTTAGTGTCTACCCTCTTTGATATTCTGCTGCCTCAGGCTCCCCAGGTGACAGTCCAATTATAGAGCTGGAGCAGCAAAAAGGACACGTGATTTAAGGGGAAAAAATATTAAAAGGGGGAAGAATTAAGAACCTGGATTTACAAAGAATCTGTATTTACAGTCGTCCCCCACACATTTACCCATCCTACTGTGAACGTAGGTGGTATCCTGACAGCAACAATGTCATAACAACTAGAAATTGAAGATTAAATTTGCACAGTGCCCGAGAGTGTCCCTGCTGTGGGGCTGAGGGAAGGAAGAAAAAGATGAAGGGGAATCAGCTGCTCCCAACCTAGCAAGACGGCTGTGGAGGGAATTCAAATTCCACAGGACAAGCGCTGTGGAAGCACAGAGCTGAGCAAGTAACTCTGCCCGAGGGAAGGTTGAAGGTTTCAGAGGAAGGGAGGTGGGAGGGGTCAGGACAGGGGGAGACGAAGGAAGGGCATCTGGCAGAGAGCTGTCTCTGCCAAGGCACGGGGGACCCCAGCAAGTTCTCTGCAGCACCTGGGGTGCTGGGTGCCTGGTTGGGGGCAGGACTGCAGACCGCAGAGGGCCCTGCAGACACGCTCTCCTGGGAACTGGATCGATCAGATCCTGGAGCAACGTGGAGCAATCAGGTCTGCACAACAAGGAGTTCTGCATTGTAGAAAAAGCACTAGGACATAGGGGCTGGAGGGTGGGGACACTGGGAGAGAGGCCTGCTAGAAAGCTCCCACAAAGAACTTTCTAGGTCAACAGAATTAGGGCTCGTGACCAAGACAGGGACACTGGGGAGTTTCAAGCATGGGCAGTAAATGCAAATGCTAATAGGGACCCAACGGTCATATAAATGAGTATAACAGGCCCAACATGACAGACTCAGCACAAACTCCCCAAAAAAAAAAAAAGAAAAAGAAAAAGCTTTTTAAAAAAATTTTGCTTAAAAAAAAAATTACAAGGTATATTCATAGGCCCTAGCAATAATTTTATAGTTTTAAGAGTTTTTAAAGACCCTTTGTTCAAACTCTACTTGCAGTAACTCTACATAAGTTAGAAAGAGGTAGGCAGAGAGGTCTCGTTTTTGCACAGGAAGACAGAATTGGAATTCTTATGAATACCAACAGGTATTTCAATAGATACAAAATACCGTAGGGTATTTTGATGTTAATACCCTAATAATCAGTGTTTTTATCTAGTTTTATATCACAGGGAGATCTCTCTCAGCAGTTACTGAGGAAAGGGGATGTCTCATCTCTTTCAAGGACTTTTTTCTCTAAATTGTGAAATTTGCATTTTAAAGGCCAGATTCTGGAATTCATTAGTCAACATTATAGACAACACAAGATAGTAGAGCTAACTTTTAATGGTAGATGGAGGGTAAGTATTAAAAGTGGAATAAGGAGTATAAAGCATTCATGTATTCCCTAGGCTGTCACTGATTGTTTTACTTCCCACCTTACCTCCACACCCAGCCCAAGACACAACCGAGCACAGGGCCTGGCATGTAAAAATAGTTCTTTATAGTAAATACATTTTAAATGAATGAATATGTGTCTACATTCATGCTTACCCTTGTCACAGAAAAGAATTCCTCCCAGAAAATTTAAATTCTTTTGGCACTGAAGTAGTCCACAGTGCCTTGCTAAGTAGGTCTTCTTCTGACCAACTGCTTGTTTCCATAATGATGGAACCATAATGTTGAGTACACACTCGGACAGCCCTACCAGTTGTTAAAAGAATTAAAGATTTATATCCCTTGAGAGCTTCATTCTACCTCCCTGGCCCATTTCCTAGGACCCACAAGACCTCCTCATGATTCTGGCAACCCTTTAACCCACAAAAGGGTTAACACCTGGACCGCAGTTGGCCTCAGACCACAGTTGGCCTCAGGACTGTTTCAGCATTTCACAAACTCCATTTTGGGGTTAGGCAACTTACCTTTATGCTGTCCAAGTACCATAGTTACTTATTCTTTCCCTCCGTGTTTATGGCAGATTTTGGTAACCCTACTGAAGCTGACCATGTGGTCTGGCCCCAAAGTGTAACCAGGTTACAATTTTTCCATGTATTTTTTAAAATTTATTTTTGGCCATGCTGTGCAGCATGCAGTATCTTAGTTCCCCAGCCAGGGATCGAACCTGTGCCCCCTGCATTGGGAGCGTGGAGTCTTAACCACTGGACCACCAGGGAAGTCCCTTTCCTTGTATTTTTAACCATGTAGAGGAAATACACAGTGTATGACATCACTTACTAAGATTCATCTTTTCGCTCTCATATACTTTCCTCACATTCTGCAGCTTTTTGGCTGTATCTCTCTTACAAGTTTCCCCTTCCAATGTCTCCTTCTTGCCCTAGCAGTATGCTTCTTCTTGTTTGGTTCCTCCATCTTTCCTCCCAATTCTGTATTGCACATCCTGTATGTGTGTGAGTGTGTGTATAAATATATATAAATAAGATAATGGCTAATGCCACAATACTGCTGGAATGCCGGAAGCTTAGAAGCAGTTAAGAAACTGAGTAGAAAAGCCAAGACCCTTTTTCATGGGGAGGAGGAGGAGGGAAAAGCTAAGAGCACTTACTAATGAGTGCTTTTTTCTCCCCCACCATATCTTATTTGTCTTTATCCATCTGCAATGTAATTTCCTTTAGACCATTTTTAATTCATCCAACCTACAAATATTTAATGAGCACTGATGAGATAAGAAATGAGGGCTGATACCTGAGAGTGGAGAAGAAGGGATATGTCCAGTTACCAGGCAGGAATACCAGTCAAGTGGCCGACTTGGGGCATTACCTGGAGAGGACAGAGCCACAGGGGCTGTCCAAAGAATTTTGATCAGAGGAGTCAATCTATCATCAGCCAGGTCTTGGGACAAGTTTGAGGCTGGGTATAGGTAATGGAAACCTTCAAAGGGGTGAATACTGGAGTGGGATGGGAGACGAGGAACAAAGGCGTAAGGTTGAGAAGGCCTGGATTTCTGTGTGACTGGAGTGGAGAGTATAAAACTCCTCCCACAGGGAATGAGTTCTGCATCAGTGAGGCTGGAGATGGCTGGGCCTGGAGGAAGAGATTTAGTGTTCATGTGCATCAAGGAGATTGTTTTGTAACTATTCTTACCTTCAGGGCATACCAAACGAGCATCCTGAGTGACCCAGGAACAAAACCCAAAACTCTCAGCAGCAAAATTCTAGGCCAGGCTCCACCCCTTTTGGCTACCCCTATGCTTAATGCTCAGGGCATTGAGAGACCACCTGTATTATGTGAGTAGAGGACTAGAGCCACTGGATTTGGAAAGAGAGAGGCTGACATCTTCCCTAGTTGCAGTGCCCTAAGTCCCTATGTAAAAAGAGGAGAATAGAATTGCCTTGGAAATATGAATCTTTCCCTGTCAAACTGAAATTGCTACCCATCTCTGCTGAACTTTGATAACTGAACAAGGCCACACTCTGGGGGCAGGACTGGCAGGTGTTTATTGATGAGACCAGATGAAGTTTTTTTTTATGGTCAACTAGCAATGATTACATTATTATTGCATGGCGTTTTCCAGCACTTAACATTTGATATCTGTCATTTTCTTGTTTCTGGTCACTATCTTGGATTAAAACCAGATTTTATTAACTAATTGTTTTTAATTTACAACAACTTGAGATACACACAAAAACTTAACAGTTGTTGCTTTTGGAATGGGAAAGTGAATGGGCTGTGGACACAGACTTGATGTTTTCAATATGTACCCTTTTGTATATTTTGAATTTTGTATTGTGTATGTATTACCTATTTAGGGATAAGTTAATCAATTTAAAAAGCTATAGCTTGACTTCTTTAGCATTTAATTTGCTATATAATAAAAATATACCGAGCTACCATTTTCCTCACCTCAAATCTACCTAGAATTTGCTTTTAATTCCTCCTAAGAGAGACTGTATTTTCCTTTCTCTAGGATGAGCTAAAATTACTTGGAAAGCAAGGGGCCACATTGCTGTCATGTATTCAAGAACAAGCAACCAAAAGTCCCACCAGCAAACTCAGTCTCAATGAAGCTGAGAATGTAGCTACCATGGAAAGGTGAGTGAGAGGGGTGGAATCTGCTTTTTCAGGAGAGAATACATAGAACCAGATGATCTGAAACAACCAAGAACAGATGGAAATAACTGCTTATGGGTCTTGGTGGGGTCACGAAAGAAGAATATTTGAGACAACGAAGGAAAAACCATGGTATCCTTCTGGCATCCATCTACAGAGATCTTTTTATGAGACTGCCATTCCCTCTTCCTATGATCTGCTTTCATCCCAGGATATCAAGGAAGATGGTAGTATTTACTGAGCTTCATTGCCAAATAACAGTTTGGTTGGGTGCTGTGCTTTGCACACCTGTCTTCTTAGGCGGAAAGAAATAGAGAGAAAGGTAAGGTTACCTGGGGTACATTTTAAAGCATAGCAGCTGCATCTGAAGTGAAGTGTCTGCCTAATCCTGAGGGTGTCCTGATTAAAAAATGGGAAATGTGGAAACCAGCTGAACTAGGAGAAAGTCATAGGTGACACAGACTTCATAATAAGGAGATTATCACAATTAGTAACACTGACTAAAAACATGGGTGTTATCTCCATGAGCCTGTGGAAATGAATGCTGACTGCATGTCCTTTCTTGTTCTTTCTTGACAGGTTATTAGTTCAGTTGAATGAAACAGAAAAAGCCTTTAGTCAGTTCTGGTCTGAGCATCACCTGAAGCTTAATCAATGCCTACAACTGCAGCACTTTGAACACAATTTTTGTGAGGTATTATTTTCTTGTTTAATAAAACTTCCGTTATGTTTCAGTGACTTCTGGTTCTCTCTCCGCCCTTGAACTCTGGGCATCGGGCTTCCCTCCCCTCCCCAATCCAGTCCCCTCCTTATATCTTTGATTCCTCTTCTCACCTTTTCAGTGGGTTAGCAATGTACTAGAATCCCATTTTCCTGTTGGCATACATGGTATTTCAGTGATGGTTTACCTTCCTTTTTGATTCAGTGAAGCTTTAATATTCCATCCACGTGTGTCTCAGCACCCTCAGCTTAATCTGAAAGCTGATGAGCTGTAGGAAAAAAAAATCTATATAGATACACATATGTCCTGAATCCTTTTTGGATTTTCAAGTTGTCTAGAGTATAACAAACCTATACCTCCACATGGGTGTCCATTGGCTTATGTCTGGGCTTTTCTAATGTGTCTTGTAGGTTAAGTTTGCCCTGGACAATGTGTTGGCAGAGCAAGCGGAGTTTACAGACATCGGAGACAGTGCAACGCGTGTGGAGCAACTTCTTAAGGAATACAAAAAACTGGAAGGAAAAGGCCAGGTTTGTTTTTTTTGCCAATTTTGTGGACCAGGAAGAGGGTCACTGTGGATGGTGACAGATCATGGCCACTCATTATTGCTAGAAGGTTGCCAAAAGACACAGGAATGCCCAAATCCTGCCTTTTCAGTGACCTGACACTCACCCCAGGTCTCCAGGGAGATATGCACATTAACAACTATGAGGAATGATGAGGGCAGTGAGAGTTCTGTTAAGGCTGCCAGAGCACCCAGTTGAGGCTGGAGGCTTCGGTGGGGTGAGAGTTCCAGGTGGCCCTGCCCATTCATGAGGTGACAGACTAGTGGGGGAAAAACAGGAAGTAAGGTCACACTGGGTATGTTACCCACTGGGCCAGAGGTTGGGGCAGGAGTTGGTGGTAAGGAGGGGAAACTTTTAAAGGGCAAACCAGAGAAAAATAACTAGTTTTATAATAGGCAAGATGGGGAAATTGGTCCACATTAGTTCTGTTGCTACAGAGAGTTGGCAAAGCTTTCTGCTTTCTCATGCTCAAAGAGTTGGAAATATCAAACTTGTAAAGGAACTTGAAAGGAATATATGTTTCAGATTCTCATACCAGAGTTAAACAGTTTCCCAGATCTGAACACAAATCAGCACTTAGGAGTGAGTCTATCTTAAGTCCTTACAAATTTGGCTTATTATGAATTTAAGAAAGCCCAGTCATCTTTCCAGAGAAGTTCCTTTCTGCTTTTCTTTAATTGGGTTCTCTATATTTTTGTCTCTTGGGAACTAAGTCTTCTATGGTTACCACTTCCTTTCTGATCTAATCTAGAGGTGTCTTTCCTCTAGATTATGGTAGATGGTAATTTTGTAGTACTAGAAATTTGCTTCTCAACGTGTGATCCTCTGGCCAGAAGCCGTCACCTGAGTGAGAACTTATTAGAAATATGGGTAAATCTCAGGCCCCACCTCAGAATCAGAATCTGCATTTTAATAAGATCCCCAGGCATTTGACACACACATTAAAGTTAGGCTTTTGACACTCACATTATTGTTAGAGACATACTTCCCCAGAGAATAGTAACAAACGTAAACCAAGGCCACTCTGGCTTTAAGAGCTGTCAGTTGTGAATTCTGAGCTGCACGTGCTTTTGCACATGTGTGAACACATAGACCCACCTGTGCACCCAGACTCTCACTCAGCAATCCCATTCTTACCTGGTGAGCACTCCTCTTATTGATGATCGTTGACAACTAAATGCTTTAGTGCTAAAGGCATGAGAAATGTTTATTAAACAATGAAAAAAATTGAATTTCATGTATCTGATAATTATATGTCTCAGAGGCTGCAAGATAGTCCCAGTTCTATGCAGTTCTGGTTTTTTTCAAGTGAACTCTTTATTAAATGTAGATGCTGTGTGTTTTCATTTACATACATTCATATTTTAGGGAAAATGCCTCATCAAGCCCAGTACCTTTATTTGTGGTTTAATAAATATGGTGTCATATATATATATCTCATCAAGGTAGCTACTGACCTACCAGGAAGGTATATCACCAAGGTAGCTACTGACCTACCAGGAAGGTACTCATTCATCACCAGGTATTCCTTGTCTTAGATTCTGTGGCTATAGTGGCAAACCAGACAGTCAAGACCCTGCTTTCATGGGGGTTACATTCTACTGGGGAGAGACAGACAAGTGAAAAGTAATCAAATAAATAATCATATCAGATAGTGACAAGTGGGATGAAGAAAATAACAGGACATGATAGAAAGTGACTGGGGGTGTTGCTACTTTAGTAGTCAGGAAAGGCCTCTCAGACCTTTGATCTGAGATCTGTATAGCCATGCAAAGATTTAGGGAATAGCAGTCAAGGCAGAGGAGCTGCAAGTACAAAGGTCTTGAGGTGGGAACGAGGCTGGGGGCCCAAGGAATGTGGCTGGAACATAATGAGACAGGAGAACACAGGTGGGAGCAATGGTGTTGAGGACTGGATTTTATTCTCAGTGGAACGGGAAGCCATTGGATGGTGCTCTGGGTTGGGTTTTAAATACTGGGGGTGGATCTGCATGACTGCATTCACATCCTCTCTTCTGCCCACCTCCTTGGACTTGTGATCTTTGGTACATACTTCAAAAATCACTGACCAGAGGTAGGGGCAAAACCTATGGTCATGGGGCATCTTTCACGGGCAACATTCCTGAACAGCTGGGCTAACCTACAACCTGGAGCCCAGGAAGATTGGTTTTACCCATCCTGTGCCTTGCTTACCCTGTTTTTTACTTATTTGCTAAAGGATGCAGTAGACCTATCCCTCTGCCTTTGGGTGAACCAAATAAAGCTATCTTATCATAACCGGAACTTTTTAAACATTTCTTCACTCAGATTTGTAAGCGGCATTGTTTCTTCAAGTGATATGGGCCTGGCTAATCTTTCCATTTGTCCTGTAAAGTCTTAAAGGAAAAAGGTAATGTTTGGGTAGAAGCCACCAAAACCTGCTTGAGGTTTGTCCTTCGCTCAGCACCCAGGGGTCAGCTTCCCTTTCAGCAGAGCCACACACTGATTTCTGGGTTGTTGCCAACTCCCTTACTCTGTGCAGTGGCATCATCCTCATGGTAGCCTCTGAGCCAACTGGAGCCTGTTCTTTTACCCTCTTCTGGTTTGAGGGTTTAATCGTCTTTTTGTTTTTTTATACTCCAGTAAAGATGTTAAAAAAAAAGAGAGATACTAAGTGTTGTCTCTCCTTTTAGACCAGTGGTTCTTTTTTTTTTAGAATATCTTTATTGGAGTATAATTGCTTTACAATGGTGTATTAGTTTCTGCTTTATAACAAAGTGAATCAGTTATACATATACATATGTTCCCATATCTCTTCCCTCTTGCGTCTCCCTCCCTCCCACCCTCCCACCCTCCCTATCCCACCCCTCTAGGTGGTCACAAACCACCGAGCTGATCTCCCTGTGCTATGCGGCTGCTTCCCACTAGCTATCTATTTTACGTTTGGTAGTGTATATATGTCCATGCCTCTCTCTCACTTTGTCCCAGCTTACCCTTCCCCCTCCCCATATCCTCAAGTCCCTGCCCTAGTAGGTCTGTGTCTTTATTCCCGTCTTACCCCTAGGATTAATCGTCTTTTGAGTGCTTATCTCTAATTCTGAGAAACAGTGGTTCCAGTACCCCTCGTACTTCTTTAAAAGCAGAATTTGCTATAGGGTTTTGGCTGTGACGTATGCTGGGACCTTTGCTGATGGGCCAACAAGGAGCAGACCAGGACAAAACAGGGAGACCCAATCGTTTCTCAGCCTTGACATCTCCCTCCAAGGCCAGGGGCCAGCAGTTACACTACTGTGTCCAAGAAGGCATGGAGCCCAGATCATTAACCTCCTAGGGATGTAATCTAGCTGGAGGGGCATGACTTTTTTTTTTTTTTTTTTTTTTTTGCAGTACGCCGGCCTCTCACTGCTGTGGCCTCTCCTGTTGCGGAGCACAGGCTCCGGACGCGCAGGCTCAGTGGCCATGGCTCACGGGCCCAGCCGCTCCGCGGCATGTGGGATCTTCCCGGACCGGGGCACGAACCCCTGTCCCCTGCCTCAGCAGGCGGACTCCCAACCACTGCGCCACCAGGGAAGCCCATGACTTTTTTCTTTAATGGAAATTTTCAAGCACACAAAAAAGTAGATTGACGAGTACAAGGAACTCCCATGTGTCTACAGCTCAGTTTCAACAACCATTAACTTTCTGCCTTTCTTGTTTCACCTGACCCTCTTCCGCATGCGTTCCATTCCTATGCCATTATCTGTGGGTCTGTCCTGGGTTCCCTATGTAGCAGTATCGCCCCTTCTTCACCATTTTCTTCCAGAATAAACATGTCCAGCTTCATCTGTTATAGCAATAGAGTCCTGGGGGAAAAATAAGCTGTTATTACAATAAAGGTTTCTGAATTACATGTTGCAACTTGACCAGCCTTCTGAAATTTTCAGCATCTGAAAGATGCCAGGCAGGCTTATGATCAGAGTACCTGATTTCAGCCATTTCTTTCTCATTATTTCTTTTTACTTTGGAGGTTTTGTTGCCTGATTATCTTGAGCAGAAGCTATATAGACTGAAAAATAAAATGCAATTTGGAGGTTTTACAGTAAAGTTCTTGGCAGGCAACTGAAGGATTTGATAGTCATGAATAATAATGACTTCATTAATAATAATGTGCAGCCATTATTCTAGCACATGTGGGGAAGCCACGTAGGCTGGAAGGTGGCAAGACACAGGCTTTGGAGTTAGAAGGAACTGGATTCAAATCTCGGCTCTAACAGCTACCAACTGTGTGGCCCTAGTCAAGTTTCTTAGCCTTTCTGAACATACCCTCTCATCTGTAAAGTGGGTAATAATTCCTACCTCACAAGAGTCCCTGGGAAGATGAAATGAATAGATGATGTATAGTAAGGACTTAGAGAGTGTCTGGAATGTAGTAGGTGGTCAGAGCTTAGAAGCTATTACTATTATCCATTCATTTCAATAGAGTAATTTTCCAGCCATCCAGTGGTGAATTCTGTATTGTATTTATGGATCCCTTCCCAAAATCAATTTGGACCTGTTATGGACATCTTTCCTCCAACATCTCAAGTGTTTTAAGAACAGTTCTGAAGGGTGAGATGCTGCATGCCACAGGGACGCAGCTGTGACTGCCACAGGTAACCTGGGGAGCGTCCTGTGGTGAAGTTCCCTAGGCCCAGAAAACTTGTGCTATTCTTAATAAATTAGGCAGCTGGACTTTAAAAAAACAAGAGTCAACAGAGATGTACTGGCCAAGTTTTCATGTTTCTGTATTTGACTAAAGTCAGACAGGTTCAATCAACCAAATGAGGTCTCTAAGCTCAGGCAGGACAAGCACAGCCATTTTTCTCTGTGTGTGTTGGCCACAGCCAGATTCTGGAGCCAGACTGCTTGAGTTTGAAGCCTGGCTCTTCTCTTTCCTACCCGGGTCACCCTGGGCCATTGTGTCTCCACTCCTCTTTTGTAAAACAGCACATACATTAAAAGTTTGTTGTGAAGAGTAAAAGGAATCATTGATGTAAGCATTTTAAACAGTACCTGGCATATAGTAAGCTTTCAGTGAATGTTAGATGTTTTTGTTAATAGCAGAGGTGGTGGGGTAAATTCTGGGCTGCAGAATATTTCCTAGGTTCAACGTTCAGTGACTGAGCAGTTCTAGTAAGAGTGTCTCATTCATTCTTATATTCATTCTGCAAATATTTATTGATCTCCTACCATACCACATACTGCTCTGAGTTCTGAGGACACAGCAGTGAGCAAAAAAGTCAAAAATCACTGCCCAAGGAATTAGAATTCTAACCTCCTTTGAGCGATGGTGACCAAGTGCATCTGGGCCATTGCTGTTTAGAATAAGTGCACTGAGTATTTATCCCTGAGTTCTTTTAAATAGCCACTGCTTGATTCATGTCTCTTTATTCCCATTATCATTACTCCTTTTTTTGTTTTGCACAACAATCATTTGTTCTTAAGTACCTAATACGTGCTGTGTACTATTTAAGTTGAATAAGAGCTGGTGCATGCCCACAAGGGTCTGTGGCATAGTGTGGGCAATAGACAACTGACCACAACACAGTCAAGTTCATGCTCTGATCAAGAAAGGCCTAGCGGGCTTCCCTGGTGGCGCAGTGGTTGAGAGTCTGCCTGCCGATGCAGGGGACGCGGGTTCAAGCCCCGGTCCGGGAAGATCCCACATGACGCGGAGCGGCTGGGCCCGTGGGCCATGGCCGCTGAGCCTGCGCGTCCGGAGCCTGTGCTCTGCAGCGGGAGAGGCCACAGCAGTGAGAGGCCTGCGTACTACAAAAAAAAAAAAGAAAGGCCTAGGGTGTTATGGGAGCACAGAGGAGGGGCATCAAAATAAAAAGGTGGAGTCAGAGGAAGCTTCCTGAAGAAGATGAACTCTGAAGGGTGATTTGGAGTTAGTTACAGAGTAGTGCGTGTACATGGTGGGGCGGGGGAAGTAGGGGAAAGGTAGGGGAAGAGGTAGGGGGAGGGGTGATGAGGGAAGGATGGGGTTTTCTAGGCAGAGAGAGCAAGTAGAGAAGGCATGGAGGCCTGAAGCTGCCTGAATATTTGGGGGACTACAAGGGAGTCATTAGTCCAGTTACAGCAGAGGATGGGATGACAGAGTGAAGGAGGAGGAGCCACAGGTATGAGCCAGAGAGTGAAAGGCCTTCTGTGCATTGGTCAGGAGTTTGAACTTCTTCCTGAAGACAGTAGGGAGCCAGGAAAGGATTTGAGGCTCGGGAGTGATGTAGTCAGGAATAGACGTCGTGATGGAATTGCCATTTTGTCAGTAGCGTGGAGCGTGATTTGAAGGAGAGCCTGAAGGAAATCAAGGAGACCAGCTGTCCCAGTCAGAAAGCACCAAGGTCTGAGCACACAGTGACAAGGAGGTGGTAGGGAAGGGCTGAGTTCAAAACGGATTAAGAAGGATGTGTGCTCCGTGGGACTTGGCGAATGATTGACTGGGCAGGGGGCAGGGGTTTTGAAATTGTTGAAATCATACACCGCTGTAAATTAAGAGAGGGGCAGGTTGTCATCACCTGGAGTCACCATGTTTCCTAGTGTTACTATGAAAAGCTAAACCAGGGCAAATGTGGCACCCTGGATGCTCAACCTGGTCAGCAAGGGTGTGTGTGGGCCTCCTGTGCTGGAGGCCTCTGGGGACATGGCAGTCATCTGTCTTGACTCAGGTCAGTGTTGTTCACACAGTTCCAGCCAAGCAGATCACTGCATCCCCTAGTTCATTGGTTCATTTATTCTTTTATCTTATTGACCAAATATTTATGGGATGCCTACTAAGTGATCTCACGGAGCTTATGTATTGGTGGGCATGGGTGGAAGAGGGAGGAATCATACCTTAAAGTAGAGAAAGAAAATACTTTCAGGTAGAAGTAAGTGCTGTTATAAAATGAGAACAAAGTGAGGGAGAGGGCCTGGGAGGGGGTGAACTAAGAGCTTAGACCTGGGAGGAGCATCCCAGTGAAGGGTGCTGAGATAGGAGCTGGTTTGGTTGTTGGCCTTGTTAAAGCCACACCTCTTACCTGGATTACTGCAGTAGCCCCCTAACTGGTCTCCTTGCTTTCCCTCTTCTCTGGCATTCTTGACACCACAGCTGAAGCGATCCTTTCAAAAATATGAATGAGGTCCTGTCTTCGAAACCGTCCAGTGCATCCCATGTCACAATGAATAAGAGACAAAGTGCCCGCAATGGCAGCAAGGCCCTCCCTGGTCAGATCCCCCTCTTTCCTCTCTGCTCATGTCTCCTCCTTTCCTCCTTGCTTCCTCTGCTGCAGCCACAGTAGCTTCCTCCTGCTACCTGAACATGTCAAACATGCCCCCATCTCTCTCAGCCGAGTGCTGCATGGTTGTCCCTCACTTCACATCTTGGCTCCTGTGTCAAGGGTCCCCAAGACCACACCCAGATTTGAAGATTTGCTAGGAGAGCTCATAGGACTCAGCATATAATTATGCTTATGGTTATGGTTTATTACAGTGAAAGGATACCAAGGAAAATCAGCAAAGGGAAGAGGTGCATGGGGCAAAGTCTGGAGGAAACCAGGTGCAGGCTTCCAAGGGTCGTTTCCCATTGGAGTCCCACAGGATGCACTTAGTGCCGCCAACAATGGCTTGCACCGGCATTGTAAAATGTTGCCTGTCGGGGAAGCTCATTAGGGGCTTAGTGCCCAGAGTTTTTGTTGGGGGCTAGTCATGTTGGTGGCCTCTGACTGGCGTATACCAGAATTCCGGAATCCCAGAAGAAAGCAGATCTTCAGCATAAAACATATTGTTTGCACAAACAGTTTAGATACCATGAGCCATTCTGATTAAGGATGATAGGAACCCTCCTGACTGTCCCAGATGCCAGCCGAGGACCAACCTTGCAAGCAGGCCTTTCTAAGGACAGCAGTTTCAGGCTGCTGTGTTCTGCACAGCGTGGCCAGCACCTTCTCAGTGAGTCCTTCTCTCACTACCCTATTTAAAATAGCAGCTCCTCCACCAGTGCTCCCGGCCCTCCTCTCCCTGTTTGATTTTTCTCCATAGCTCTCACCACTGTCTAAGATATTATATTATCTACATATTTGTTTATTGCCTGTGTCTCCTACTAAAATGTAAGCTTCGTGAGGGCAGGGAATTTTGCCTGCTTTGTTTACCACCAAACCCCCAGTACCTGGACAGTGCTTGGTACATGGCAGGTCCTCAATGATACATGATGAATGAATTAAAAACAGGAAAAACTTGGTACATATGGTTAGAACGAAACAAGCTGTGCAGAAAGAGGGAGGAGATACAGTTGCTAAGCAGACGATATCAGAGCAGACAGGGACCTTGTGGGCTGCAGGAGATGGTTTAGACAAACATAATTCTTAAGTCTCATGATCCCCCCATAGGGTTGCCCAAACCAGATCTCTACTATTTTCTCAACCTCAGCTTTACTCCCCACTCTCCTCAGGGCCACATGTTTGTCCCTTTTCCTTTTCCATTCAGTTGACAAGATAATTCAGTCTCCAATTCTGTGCAGTATAATACTTCATGCTCTTCTGCCCTAGAATTTATCACAGTTGTAATAAGTTAATTATTTGTATAATTTGTTTAGTATCTGAGTTCTCCATTGAACTGAAAATTCCTGGCTTGTTAACACTATATCCTCAGTGCTTAACCCAGAACTCAACAAATATTTGAATGAATGACTTGCTCTTCTTCAGAGTGCAGATGACCCTGGACTAGGCTAGACCTCCTGGGGACCTTGAACCACCCCAGTGCTTTCCCAGGTTCCCCAGCCCCAGTCTCTGAGCCTAAAACCTGACCAGCCCCTCCGTAGCCTCCCTCCAAGTTTGGAGCACACAGTGCCAGGCAAATACCAGCCTCACCATGACTCGGCTTCTGATGCTTGGCTGTGGATGTTCACTTTGCAGGAGTCCTTGGAAAAGGCCCAGCTGCTTGCAGTAATTGGGGACCAGCTCATCCAAAGCCACCACTATGCAGTGGACTCCATCAGACCCCAGTGTGCAGAGCTCAGGCACCTCTGTGATGACTTCATCAATGAAAACAAGAAAAAACATGACATTTTAGAAAAGTCCTTGGAGTTGCATAGACAGTTGGACAAGGTGAGCAAAACAAAGCTGCAAACATGATGTCTGCAAAATGTTCTGTGAAACATTCTTAATCATACTTGCCCTCCCTGCCCCTCACGATTCCTGAGATGAGAGGATAAAGTCCTTCATGTGAAAACAGCGCTCAAGAGGCGTTAAAAACTGTGCAGATTCTAAGTCATAGAGGTATTGAAGGTCAAAAATGCCCCAGCCATCCACCACATCCCATTCGAATGAACTATAAAGTCCGTGTCCTCTGTGTGGACCCAGACTTAAAGAGTGTGTTTTGGCCTGGCCCTGTGGGGCCTTTCATGATTCCCCATCAGGTGTAAAGAGAACCAAGCACTATAGTTGCAAAGTGCTTCTCCTCATGTAAAGGCATCAGATTGTGAATCCTTTTGAAGAAGCCTAAGTAATAACAACCACTATACACTCCTGCCATTTACTGAGCACCTACTATGTTCCTACCAGGAGCATAATTATGTCATCTATTTAATCCTCAAGACAACCTATGAGGAGGATATTAATGGCCTCATTTAACAGAGACAGAAATTGGTATTCAGCATAGTTAAGTCAATGGGTCACAACATTTAGTACATGAGGTGAGCTTGCTATAATTGCAGATTTCCTGATGTACCACTCGGGAGGCTCTGATTTAGTAAGTGTGGGATGATGCCCAGGAATCAGTATTTTCCTCAAGTGCCCAGGTGATTTGGTGCAGGTAGTACATGAACAACACTGAAAAACCCTGGGGTAAAAGATTGCCCAAGACCACACATGGCGTAAATAGGGGATCACAGGTTTGAAGTGAGGACTGACAAATTCCAAACCCCAGGCTCCTTAGACTAGACAGCAACACTGTATGCAGAGTGCTCACGGGGAGGGGGCACGGCCCCCGCTGCCCTTCAGCAGTGATCTCTGAGGCAAGTGCCAGTCAGCAGGGGCTGTGACTGCTGGAGCCTGCTCTGTCAGCTGTTCCCAGGCATCAGAGAGCTCCCCGCTGTGAGTCAGCATGCTCCATTTCCACAATTGTTTCTCTCTGATAGCTGGGGGCACCCGCCCAGGCTGTTTACATCATCCCACTGCCAAAGGGATTTTAGTGTCAAGGAAATATAGCTGTTCCAGAAGCAAGTGGCTCAGAAGGACCTGCCAGAGATAATAGCCTAACGCCAGTCTGTGGACTGCGTGTGTGTGTGTGTGTGTGTGTGTGTGTGTGTGTGTGTGTGTGTGTGTGTGTGTGTCTCGGAGAGTGAGTAGCTGCTGTGACTCTGCAGAAGACCCCAGCTTAGTGTTTTCTGCAGATACAGGCATGATGTTTAAAGAGAAAGTTTTCACAGTATATATCAAAGCATAATTTTCTATTATTTTGGAAGTCCAAAAATATAGGAAGGAGGAGGAAAAAAGTTACTTATGGACACTAATTACATTCCACTCCCCTCCTCATCCCCACACAGTGGGAATCATCCATTTTTAAATAGCTTTATGATTTTTTTGTTATTCTAATAGTAGTACACATTCAGTGTAGGTAATTTAGGGAAAGTAAAGACAAATTTAATTTGCCTGTAATTTTCCCACTTAGAGATAACTACTTTAGAGAGCTCCCTTTTGGTCTTTTATCTCTGTACAGTTATTTTACATAGCTTTTCAGGTCACAGGGTAAATGGAAATGCAGATGTACTTGCAAGGGCAGCTTTTTTTCATACAAATATTCAGACAGCACAATGGCCCTTGTCTTTTTCTAAGTTTTTAAAAAATTGAATTGTTAGAATTCATTACTTATCTGCTTTCATTCCAGCATTCTGGAAAGTTTAAGTACTGCTGTTCTGAGCTAAAAGCTTTGCATTCTTAGATGCTTCCCTTGGAAAGACAAACGCTAATAAATGCAAATGTGGACAGAGGACAGTGGTGTTTGTGTTAAAAGAGACATTCCCTCTCCCAGGAAGGCATGTAGGAGTCAGGTCTAAAGCCTCATTATTTACTCTGTGCTCTTGTAACCAATTAGGATGCAAGAAATTGGCCTAGAAGGTAAACCCAAAAAGCCACTGGTTGCATTTCTCTATGGTTAGACCAAACGTAGAAATACTCAACTCTCTCCTCTTAGAGATGTGGCAATTACTGTCAGTGGAGAAAAGAAGAATGCTTATATGATTTATTTTTTGACTAAGTGACTTCCTTGAAAAGTATGCAGATGTAAAATTGATTTGGGCTTGTCCACCTCATGGTTATATTTATAGTGGTTGGACCTCTAAACTTGATGCTGTGCCATGACAATTCCTTGTTGTCTCAGAATCCTTGTAGACCCCATATGAGGTTGGACCTCCTGAGGACTGTGGTGGCTGAGTTGTGGGCAGGCTAACTGCAAAGGGCACTGTGTTTCTTTCTAAAAGGTCAGCCAGTGGTGTGAAGAAGGAATCTACCTCTTGGCTTCCCAAGCTGTAGACAAGTGCCAGTCCCGAGAGGGGGTTGACATTGCCTTGACTGACATTGAGACATTCCTGGGCACAGCGAAGGAGTACCAGTTGCCCAGCCCCAACGAGTTTTACAACCAGTATGAGCTGATGCTCACTCTTGATGTAAAGGTAACGTTTCTGAGTTATTTTGATCCTGTGGTTGGGAAAGGGATGTGGGGGGACTTTGCCTGTTGCCCAAGAAAATCTATGTAGGATGTACTGAGCAGATTAACTGGCTCTTGAGCCCTCAGGTGGCCTCTTAGACTCCTGGTCTGTGCTTCCTGGCAAACTGACCCTTCATGGCCTGATTCAAATATCACTTTCACTCATTCATTTCTCCGCAAATACTTATAAGCATCTCTGATGTATTAGGCACTGTGCTGAATGCAGAGGACACAATTATGAGCAGAAATAGATGTGGTTCCATCCTTCATGGAACTTACAGTGTATGTATGTCATACAGTTTATGTATGACATTAATAAATATCAAACACAAAACACAAAAATGTGTTGCAAGCCGAGACAAGTGCTCTGAAGGATGGATTCAGGGTTCTATGGGGTATGTGACAGAGGAACTTGACCTGGACTGGGGGTCAGGGAAGTTCCCTGGGAAGAGTCACTTGAGCCAAGGCCCAGAAAATGAGTAGAGAAGATGGGGGAGGCTTTCCAGACAGAAGGATCAGAGTGTGCAAGGCTGTAGGGCTGAAGGGAGCCTGGCACAAGTGCAGAACCCAAAATTCAGAATGGCTAGAGTACAGAGAACAAGGGAAGAGTCTTTGGGGTGAGATTAGAGAGGTGTAGATGAAGTGTGGCTTCGCTGGCCATATGAAGGAGTTTGGTCTTTATTCTGAGAGCCACTGAAGGATTTAAGCAGGGGAATAACTTGATCAGATCTGCATTTTGAGTGGAGCACTGTTCTGTGGAGCCAGCAGAGTTATAGATAGTACACCTTCCTCTTAGATCCACATCACCTTGTATGTACTTCTGCAGAAGGGGCTTTTTTACCTCTTTTGAGTCATGGACCCTTTTGCGAATCTGATTCACATATTTTCAGGGTTCCACACACTCAAAATGATTGAATGGAGTTTGATGTAGGCACTGTTTACAAAGATATGGGCAGAATTTAGGAAACCCAATATGGATGGTGAAGCACCCTGGGCTACAAAGAAACAGGGAGCAGTTACCACCCCTAAGCCTGAAAGACAAAGGGGAACCCAAGAAGCACTATAGCTGTGACTGTAAGAGAGGTAGCCAGTAAGATCTGTGGCCTTGGGCAGAGGAATGCAGCCACTGGTGGAGAAATATATACCCCTACTTTTCTCTCTCCCTCTCAGATTTCCTGGTGGTACATCTCACTAGCCAAATCCAGCTAAAAGCCCATGGGCATCTAGTGAGCCCATCTGATGGAGTCTGTAGAGGTCAGCTTCCTGGGACACAGAACAGTATAGAGAAGATATAGTGGGGGAGCAGACAGGGAATACCCAGCATATATAACTTTTTATGATTAATTTTAGGGGACACCCTGAAGTCCATCCATGGATCCAGGCTAAGAGACTTTGCTCCAAAATGATACATAACAAACTGTATTCTAGCTATTTATTTTTAATGTCTGTCTTGTCTGTTACACTGGGAGCTGCAGTGAGGCAAGAGCCTCACCCATCTCTGTGTCCCTGGGCCTAGTCTGTGCCTGGTGTCCAATCCGTGTTTGCTGAACAAGTGGCAGGTGGCAGAGTGGGTCAGATACAGTGGGGGCAGCTTGGTGTAGGGTTGTGCCTCAGTGATGTTCTTTCCCTGACTCTTCCCAGTGAGTTTTGGTGGTAAGATGTGATCTTGAGGTGGTACTGGGGGTGGTTAGGCAGGTCTACCTTCCCCTGACATAGGGACCCTTCTACTTCCCTGCAGAGAGGACAGAGAGAAGGCCCATCTGGTGTGTGTGCTATATTGTAGACCCAGGATTGGTAGCCTCATATCATATTCCTAAAGGAGAACAGTCTCACCCAGCTCCACGTCCATTAGCTCCTCAAACAAGTGTATCAGGTCAACCAGGGAAACTTGTGGCCACAGCTGCCATTTTGGCCAACATCAGCAAACTTCCTGACCACACCAGCCACCAGGAAATAAATAAAACTTGATAAACCACCTCTGGGAAATAGGCAGAAACATGGAGGAAGGAGAAGACCAGAAGAAATATTTATTTTAAAAATTCAAAATGGACCAAAAAAATCCCCCAAACCTATCTTTTCTTCTTTTGGTTTGGAGTAAAATTCTAGATTATAATATTTAAATATGCTGTTGTGTCAGAGTTTTGTCCACTGAGGAGTAATAACTTGGTTGTCAAAACTTGTACTCTCTCTATATAAAAATAATCCTAGTTATATGCATATACACACTTTGGTATAGACACATGTATCTCCTTGGGCAGTTGATGCCAGGCATAGAAACAATGAGACCCCTACTATCAATGAGCACACCCACCACCGAGATCTTGGTTTCTTATACCATTCTCCAATAGAAGAGAACAGGGCTCCTTGGAGAAATGTCTGTATCTAGGACTGGGAAAGGAAATACACAAAATGATCCTAGAGAGGGAGATCAAGATGGCAGAGTAGGGGGATGCAGAGCTTACCTCCCCCAACAAACACATCAAAAATACATCTACAAGTGGAGCAATTCTCACTGGAAACAAACGAGACTGGCAGAAAGACACTTACACAACCAAAGCTGTAAGAAAAATCCACATGGAATCAGGTAGAAAGGGAAGAAAAGCAATCAGGTTGGGACCACACCCCTGGGAGGGGACACAGAGAGGAGGGGGGTTACACAGGTTCAGAGATGCTCCCTGAGGAGTGAGCAGTTTGAACCACATATTGGGTGCCCCAGCCCCAGGGTCTGACACTGGGAGGACAAGTCCCTTTAGCTGGATTAAAAACCAGTGGGATCAAACAACACATTAAAAAGATTAGACACCACAATGAAATTGGATTCATCCCAGGGTCACAAGTATGGTTCAACATATGCAAATTGATCAGTGTGATACACCACATCAACAAAAGAAAAGACAAAAGCCACATGATCATCTCAATAGATGCAGAAAAAGCATTTGATAAAATTCTACATCCATTCATGAGAAAAACTCTTACCAAAGTGGGTATAGAGGGAACATATCTCAACATAATAAAAGCTATTTATGACAAACCCACAGCCAACATAATACTAAATGGTGAAAAGCTGAAACCCTTCCCACTAAAATCTGAAATAAGACAAGGATGCCTGCTCTCACTACTTCTATTCAACATAGTATTGGAAGTTCTAGCCACAGCAGTCAGACAAGAGAAATAAATAAAAGGTATCCAAGTTGGAAGAGAAGACGTAAAATTGTCATTATATGCAGATGACATGATAATATATATAGAAAACTCTGAAGACTCCACACAAAAACTGCTAGAACTGATAAGTGAATTCAGCAAGGTAGCAGCATGCAATATTAACATACAGAAATCTGTTGCATTCTGTACACTAAAAAAGGGAAAGTAAAAAAACAATCCCTTTTAAAATTGCATCAAAAAAAAAAAAAACACTCAGGAATAAACCTGACCAAAGAGGTGGAAAGACTTATGTGCTGAGAACTATAAAGCATTAATAAAGGAAATTGAAGATGATTCAAAGAAATGGAAAGATATCCCATGCTGTTGGATTGGAAGAATTAATACTGTTTAAATGGCCATACTACCCAAAGTAATCTACAGATTTAATATGATCCCTATCAAATTACCATGACTTTTTTCACAGAACTACAACAAATAATCCTAAAATTTATATGGAACTATAAAAGACCCAGAATTGCCAAAGCAATCCTGAATAAAAAGAACAAAGTGGGAGGCATAACCCTGTAGACTTCAGACAATACTGCAAAGCTACAGTAATCAAAACAGCATGGTATTTGCACAAAAACAGATGTATGGATCAATGAAACAGAATAGAGAGCCCAGAAATAAACCCACACACCTATGGTCAATTAATCTTTGACATAGGAAGCAAGAATATACAATGGAGAAAAGACAGTCTCTTCAGTCAGTGGTGTTGGGAAAGATGGACTGATGCATGTAAGTCAATGAAGTTAGAACACTCCCTCACACCATACACAAAAATAAGCTCAAAATGGCTTAAAGACTTAAATATAAGACATGACACCATAAAACTCCTAGAAGAAAGCATAGGCAAAACATTCTCTGACATAAATTGCAGCAATGTTTTCTTGGGTCAGTCTCCCAAGACAATAGAAATAAAAGCAAAAATAAACGGATGGGAGCTAATCAAACTTACAAGCTTTTGTACAGCAAAGGAAACCATAAATAAAATGAAAAGACAACCTACAGACTAGGAGAAAATATTTGCAAACAATGTGACTGACAAGGGCTTAATTTCCAAGGTATACAAACAGCTCATACAATGCAATACCAAAAAACAAACGACCCAATTGAAAAATGGGCAGAAGACCTAAATAGACATTTCCCCAAAGAAGACATACAGATGGCCAAGAGGCACATGAGAAGATGCTCAGTGTTGCTAATTATCAAAGAAATGCAAATCAAAACTACAATGAGGTACCACCTCACACCAGTCAGAGTAGGCATCATTAAAAAGTCTACAAATAACAAATGCTGGAGAGGATGTGGAGAAAAGGGAACCCTTCTACACTGTTGGTGGGAATGTATATTAGTGCATGCATTATGGAAAACAGTATGGAGGTTCCTCAAAAAACTAAAAACAGAGTTGTCATACGATCCAGCAATCCCACTCCTGGGCATATATCCAGACAAAACTCTAATTTAGAAAGATACATGCACCCCAGTGTTCATTACAGCACTATTTACAGTAGCCAAGACATGAAAGCAACCTAAATGTCCATTGACAGATAAATGGATAAAGAAGATGTGGTATATATATACAATGGAGTAGTACTTGGCCATAAAAAAAGAATGAAATAATGCCATTTGCAGCAACATGGGTGGACCTGGATATTATCATACTAAATGAAGTAAGTCAGAAAGAGAAAGACAAATATCATATGATGTCACTTATATGTGGAATCTAAAATATAACAAATGAACTTATTTACGAAACAGAAA